CCCCCCCCGAGGCGATGCTATTACTGACTGAAGTGTCTAGGCCATTCCCAAAGGAGGGGGGGGGGCATCAACATGTTCTTATGCACAGCTGTAAATGGGCTGATTCATCAATGTCATGCTCATGACTGTGCCTGTACTGCAAAGGGGAACTGCCGCTTTTTCTTTCCTCATACTTGCTATCTTCATTTTTCATCTACTTTTTTAGTATATTTGTCACACCCTTGTGACCGCTGCTATTTCCAGGGTGACTTGATAGTCGAAGCAGACTTTGTGCTGTTGAAGCTTAAGAGGTGAGCAGAGTAAGCCTGATTTCCTGAATAGACTTCTCTGTTGACATCCACACCTTGGCGCTCATAATAATGACCTTATGCAGTTGCGAGCGCCGTAAAAGACTTTTTTAAAAAGGGGACACGTTTCCAAGCTCTCACACTCTACCCCCACTTATCTGACAACCGTCTCAGACATGTTACTTCACACTGATATAACCATTCTTAATTTTCCTAGCACGTCCATTTAGGAAAATGATTTTATTTACAAGAAAATTGTCTCGCTTTATCAATAAACATCTATTTGTTTTGCAAATATCAGACAACGTTTTCCTCTGAATCTTACGTATCCATGACTAGAGGCAATATTATTGGGTATGCCTACGCCTTTATAAAGAAAACATTATTTGAAGAGACGGTTCCTACTTTTGTATTTTCTGGAATATATTTCAAGCCACTTTTGGAAGCTTTAAAGCCGTGCTCAAGCATGAATTGGTTGATACTGGTGACTTCATCATTTGATTTATTTTGCCAACCACTCCATCTGGATAGCTCTCACGTCGACTTCATCAAAGAACTTGTGTGCGCATGACAGTGCCTTGGCTTCCGTTCTCTCAATGTCGATCTTGATGAGGACTTTCCTCGATTTGAGCAGGGGGATGAGATCATCAATGCAGATGGTTTTGACGGTGACTGTATGGCTATTGTCTTCCTGCATACCGTACTTGGCAAAATCTGTCTTGGACACGTTCAGATGAGTAGCTCCAACATTGCCGCTACGGAGGAAAAAAAAGGGGAAAAAGACATGCTTAGGAATCTTTCGAATTGAAGCAGGACAAGACTACTTCTTCTTCTTCTTCTTCTACTTCTTCTTCTTCTTCTTCTTCTTCTTCTTCTTCTTCTTCTTCTTCTTCTTCTCCTCCTCCACACAAACACACAGACAAAACACTCCTCGCCACACCATCCAACACACACAGACAAAATATTTTTTCGAATGCAGATTAAACATTTGATTTCTGACTTGCTCATAATAACTCAAAAAGGCACGACTGTCAAATACAACTTTGCAATTGGTCAATTTTAAGGACAAGCAGGCTAACCCAGATTTCGGGGGTTTGCCGAGATCTTGACCTATACCAAACGTGGGCATTGCCCTACCTATAGGAGAAGTTTGGTTTCCTTGGTGTGTATATTTGTTTCGTAATAGAGAAAGCTCTCCTTGTCTTTTTACTCTATCCGTACGCCCTGGGGTCATTTTGTACCCCCGGGGTTGTATTCTTCACATTTTAGAATACTTCTAGTACGAAGATCTCTATGAAACTTTCAGTATTTCCCCAAAAATCATTTTGACAGACTGCTATGCAAAGCGTACGAACAGATTAACGAGTAAATTTCCTCTTTGGAAAGTGGTGGCACAGAGTTTCCCACGTCGTATGGATAAGATCTTAAAACATGACGTACGGATAGGGTTAAAGAAAATGAACAAGAGGCAAAAACTCGATTTTCTCAAAACAGCATTTTTCAGGATAGCCCCCTTGTGCTTAAAAGCGACCAATTCTCAGGTAGCAAATCCTCGTCAAGCACTGACCTGATGAAGTTAGCTGTGAGTGAGCGGTGGTCACTGAAGAGTGCGTTGTTGACCAGTGTGACCTGGTTACTGAGCCCACTCTCCGCTAGTGAGTGCTGGATCTGGTGGATATTGGCCGGCAACATCTCCACTGACAGGACGGTCTTGCCACACGCTGCAGCGAACATTGTGTAGACTCCGATGTTGGCGCCCATGTCGATAAACTGAAGCGTTGGGTCAGACTGCAACGAAATTATAAGCTATGCTTACTTGAAACGCACTGTCACACACACACACACACACACACACACACA